GCTGGCTGACCCAGACCGCCCTGGCACTGGCACGAGAGCATGGGGGCATCTCCAGTTCCCAGCACTAAGGGATGACACGATGCCACAAAGTCATTGGGTTAATTAGACTCCCTGCCCCTTTATCACCGTATGGATTTCACAACCTCCTCTGCTTCCTTTCAGTAGTACAGCAGCTCCAATGAGCCTCTGGAAGTAGTGCCTTCTCGCATGGTGTGGTACGCTGCCAAAATATCACAGCATCTCAAGGGACTGTAAAAGTTGTGAAGTATTGCAGCAACGAAAATAATAAAAAGGAGCCTCACATGCAGCAACTGTGGCAACTAAACATTTAAACAGTTGGCTACACTCTACATGTAAACAGGAAATTGCAACAAGCCAAAAAGGTAATAAATTGGTGGATGTAGTGTAGTAATGAAAAACCCAATCAATGGCATTTTGTGACTATGGCATCCTTCAAAATACCTCTGGCATTTGAGACTGATTGGTTGAAAGTCTAAACATTTCTGAATGGAGCAAAAAGGACTATGCTGGGCTCCAATAATTATTCTGATGCTTAGCTAAAATGAGATGTCACAGTATTAGCTGTACAAGTGCATTACTTACGCTCCTCTGCCCAACCTCGTCTGAGCTACCAGCAGCACAGTCAGGGAGTGCCAAAGCAGGAATACAATTTTGAACATTTCTAGCCTGTTCCCTCCAGACAGGTTGACCTACGCGCTTCTCCGGAAGCTGACCAGTGCCTTCTGAGAGAATGTCACGTCTTACATGGCACAGAGCGGGCACTTGGGTAGAAGGGCCCTGCTGAGCCCTGGTGTCTCTTGGCCTCTCTTCTCACCCTTCTTCCTCACCTACAAGTCTTTGAAAATGCCTCTTGGGAGAGGCAATACCCTAGAAATGTATCCAATTTAATGACAAATAAAAATGGAACAGAAGATCCAGCTGTTCCTCCCCTGGATGTTGGTTTAAAGGCAGCTCGCCTGGATTTTGCAGGGTGGCAGTTCGAAATTTATGGACATGGGAGGAGGTCTCCATTCTCCCTCAGACTTCCTATGGATGGTGTGACGAGGGCAGTCTGAGGCCCTTCTGTCCTGCCAGTGTGACGACCACCAGCCAACTCTTCTGACTAATTGCATATATTTCTCAGACGCCCTCCCAAGACCCCTCCAAAAAGTAAAAAACAACAACAAAAAAACCCAAAAAACCACCCCCCCCAACCCCTGCAGCCAAATACTATGACATCCCAGTTAGTAAACACAAAACGTAATGCTTTACAAAATGAATACAATATTCCATGTGCACCCAGCTTCCACACGTCAGCACCGCACTGAGGAGGCTGCTGGGCTGGTGTCTGTAGGCAGTTTCTGTTGGCAGACAGCTCCAGTGGAATTGCCACCCTCAGTTATTGTTTAAGTTATGTATAAGACATGTGTGAACCATTGGATATTTGTGAAGTAACACTTGTGCTCCTGCTCATGCCCTGTTCCGTCCGTCCCCCAGAAGCTGTCCGCCTCAGAGCCTGGGGGCTGTTGCGGACCCCTATAGCACTACTTCGAGGTACCCCCTGCATGGGCCCCGAGGGGTGACCCCATGGCTGGGGTCCACCTTGCATTGGATGGCCCCAAGCTTGCGGTGGGCCACCCATGGGATGACCCCAGTGAGGTCCTGCACCCCCAGTAGGATTGTGGGACCAGCCAGAAGCTCCCGGGTAGCTGTGGCTGAACGCCTCGGGGGAGAGATTAGAAAGAACCATATTACTAAAACCTAGCCTCATGCTTTCTGAGTCAAAGGCTTCGATCTCGCGAGCTTGACGCTCCAGCAGGCTTCGTATCCGTTCGGTACGCTCGTTCTGCAACGCCAGCATCTCCTCCTCAATCTAGGAAGGAAAAAAAGAAGAGACAGTCTGTAGCAGCAGGACTCCTTTAGAGGCATGGCCTCAACTCTCTGAACGACTTGTAACAGCAAGCTAATGAGGAACCTTCTCCCCGTGTTTCTACACGAGACTGGATCTAGATCAGATGTCCACTGACACACAATCTGTTCTGAATGCAAAAGGGTAAGTCCCATAGACCTGCACATGCCAAAGCACAGTGAACACCAGTTGGAGGGTTCTGGTCCCTGATTCCTGGTGATTACAGAAGTTTTAGGGCTGCAAAGCCAAAGTTTGCAGTGAGACTAACAGCTTCACATATGTTAATCTTTTAAGATGCAGCAAAGTCTGCAGCTTCCACAAAAGCCTACTGGGAAAGCACCTTCAGACAGAGCCAAGCACAGTGCCTATACAGTCAAATACCTGCCAACACAGCTTAATGTGACCTTCACTGTTTGTAGCTGAATCTGATGATGACAACTGCTATTTTCTCCAGGATTCAATGTACAAGCCCACATTGTTTCCTCTCCAATGTTCACTGGCCAGATTTTCTTAGCTCACATTTATCACCTCCCATCTACCCCCTTTCCTAAATTGGTTTCTCATGTTTCATTACCCTGATACTTTCTCCAGGGTGTGTGGCTGAAGAAAGCAGGCAGCGATGTTTGAATTGTGTGGCAGATGATTAGCTAGACAATATGCAAGCTGGCAACTCCAATTTCTTCCCTGTAACAGTGTTCCAAATTGGTTTCCAACGGTACTTTGGTAGGGGCACTGGGATCAGCTCTCTCAGTACAGTAAACATGGGGCTACGGCCTCCTGACACCCATCAGACAGGGATGAAAGCCTTTCTTATTGAAATCTTTGCAGTCAGGTGGAGAACCAAAGAATCACTCCATTATCTTCTTGCCAGCACTGAAAAAGCTACTTTTGGCCTCAGTGAAAAAGACCAAATGGGTAAAAAGCAGCAGCCAAGACTTTTAGCATAGCTCACTGGCATCTCCCCTGCTGTCAGCAGCAACGTGGCCAAGAGGTGTTATCTTGGTCTGTGCTGAAGGTACTGGGCAGAGCTTGTACTTGTAAGCACTCTCCTGCCTTAGTCAGGGAATATGCAAAGTGACTTCATCTGGAATTTAGGAAACAATCTGCTCCAGCGTGAGTCATCTCCTGAGCCATTTGGGGCTTTCAGAAACCGCCTTATCCACTTGCCTGTTCACACAGCGGTCAGCTGCCTTGGAAGAGGCAGAAGAGGAAGAAGGTGCCTTCTCTAAGCTTAGCTCTTTAAAACACTCCACTCATTTTTTCCAGTCCCGCTATCTAAGCGGAACTCTCCTCTTCCTTTTCCAAAATTGCAGTGTCTTCAGCACGTCCAGCTGCTCAGTTTCAGGCTTTGTGACAGCGTAACACACAGGACTTGGTGCAACCAAACTTCGCAGGCAGGCATGCCTAATGCACTGCGTTAAAATGACATCACTCAAACATCCTCAGGTTGCAGGATTCTGAAGATGAGTTGTCTGAGGCACGTGGGAAGGAAATGAGTAAATCTGAAGTCTTTTAAAGACACTCTTGGGACATGCTCATTACTGGTGCAACGCAAACAACATCACAGCAGGGTATGGCTCGTACAGTGCCTCAGCCCCTGGCCCTTAAAGGCTGCAGGTTGATGGGGCTGGCTACTCCCTCCTTAGCCTCAGACCTGGATGCGCTGGTGAGTTACCATGGTGATGGGCACCATCAAAAACAGCGAGCACTGTGCTGAGAAGGGAGCAGAGTCCTGTGCACACCCTAACTTCTGGAATCTGGTTTATTACTGAACATCAGGGACTGACTTTGCCACAGGCTATGTATATATTTGTGAATATAAATTCTTGCTCACATACCTGCCCTTCCTCTGGCTGCCAGGTTCAGTTAGCACATGCAAGCAAACAGCAGGTGACATCGCCGAGTGACCCACACCAGCATCATCACAACTCTTAATTCTTACAAAACCAGAACACCCCTTCCCCCCAAATAATACCCTTGCAAAAGGTGGATGCATCTACCTTTGCACCCACATGTTTTCCCTTGAGCTGCCACTAAGTGACTGTAACCCCAGCAAGAAACAAGAGCCTCATCACTGGTCTTGTGACTTTGTGGGTTGCACTGCACTAGGACTGCACGTATTGCTAAATAAAGGCTCCTCCCTATGGCAACTGAAGGACCATCCTATCCTTTGCTATTCTAATGTCACGTAGGGACACACAGGGCACACAAACACACACAGAAAAATCATACTAGGTCTTAATTTTATCGTTTTGTTTTCTATGATGTAGCATTGCTACACTTCCTATCACCATTGCTGATGCCAAATGCTTCGCAAGGGCTCCCTATGCACAGAGACTTCAATCCTGGTCCACACTGAAAGACTTGCACAACATTATTATCAGTTGATGTGTGTTTCCTTAAGTCACTGGATAACTTTTAACATAACACTACAAGCAGTGCAATATATGCTGCTCCCAAAGACAAGGAGCAATGACCAGCAGGAGGCTCGCTGTGCCATACTTCTTCCCAGAGCTCCCCTCAGATCACACCGCCAGAGGGCAATGCACACCCAACACAAATATATACTCAAACGCAGGGCTGTGACGGGAGCCGTCCTCTTCTGGATGGGAGCAAAATAACTAGCGCTGGGGTCTGAAGACAGCTACTACAGGAACTCTGTTTTCACAAATCCAGTTACTTCCAGAGATTCAAGTCTACTTGCAGGAGACCAAAGCACAATAGGACTGGACTGTCTTCCTCTGCTGACCGTGAGGTGGAGCAGTTTTATTCTGATAAGGGCTCTCTATCAGCCCATCATCGATCTGTTAGCCTCTGGGAGAAGTTAAGTGTGAAGAACCTCGAGGCCACAGAATAACAGCCCTAATTTAATAAGTGCCAATCAGCAAAGTTGGGAACTGTTGTGTGAATGGCGATGGCTGGCACCCACAGGGCAAATCAAAGGGGGAAAAAATTAGCAGGAGGAAGGCTGATTGTGTATTTCCTTTCACTGCCTGTGCATTACCCTTCCCCTGGTTTGTGTAGGCTGCTCACGTTTCTATACACACTGCATGTCTGGCACTGCACAGAAAGCATATTTCAACAAGGAGCACCTTAATACACCCAGCCAATTACAAGGTGAGATCTAGGGAGCAGCAGGCCACCCGTGCCGGTGGGCCTGGGTACTTCAGTTTGCTCAGGGAAACGCTGCAGACAGCAGCATTTCCATAACAAGCAAAATTTCAAAGGGAAACTGCAGCCTGGTCTCCACAGATTGACAAACGGAGCAGATCTGCAGTTAAATAATATTACCATAAAACACAGGCTCTCAAATACATTTTACTTCCCTCCCCCTGCTCCAAAGATACCTACTACCAATACTATGCAAATTCCAAAAGCACACCCCCCCCTGCCCCTCCCCAGCTTTAAGTTGTTATTGTCTGTCCTCTAATGAGCTGGGAAGCTAATCTACAGCTCAGAGACAGAAAGAACAGTTCACTTTCCCTTCTGCCCAGAGAGGCACGGCTCCCTCTGGCACGCTTCAAGCAGCTCTATCCCAGCCAGAAGCTGCTCATATAGGATGGTTGAGCTGGCAGAAAGTTTAGCCTATGTGTCACTGAGCTATCATCCCAGAGAGGCAAATACCCAAATGATCTGTGTTACTATACAGAGCAAGGTAAAAAGCAATTTCTCTCTCTCTTGATAGGTACAGCGCAATTTAAGATCTGAAATGTGGAGTACACTAATGCTGCTTGCCTGCCCATTTTACCTTCTGCTCAAGGAGGGCCCGACGGAGGGATACCCTCTGTTCAAGATCACGCAGCTCCCGATCATGCTGGGCTTCTGCCTGCATCTTGATTTTACTCTGATATGCATTCAGCAGCTCCAATTCTTGCTGCAGCTGCATCTTCAAAACCTGGCACTCTGCTTCCTGTGCTTCATCCAAACGCAGCTGGGAAAGACAGACAATAGAGATGTTTCACTATGGGGTAACCACTCATGACACTCCGGGGCAGAACTGCGAGGAGGGGGAGAGAATGGGATAGGACTTTGTTTTCTTAGCAATACAATTGGTCTCTATTGTACTTCGTTTCACTGAACAGAGGACCTATAGTGACAAAGACTGGTGACAGTGAGCCCACAGCGCTGATGCAAGTGATGCTGATGAGCAGTGGCGCCTCAGGAACCACAATCCATACTGCAGAGACCAGACTGCTGGAGGTGCTAACATCCACAGCTCTCCTTTTGCTAGAGGCAAAGAGAAGATCTCTTGCTTTGTTCAACTGGATCAACCAATTACCTGCAAGCAGGAGACTTAAGTCCAGACCCCTGCCGCTGCAAGACTTTGAGCAAAAGAATATAATAACATAAACCTAAAAGCGATACTGAACTTCTAACCTTCCCATATGTAAATTAAGCCAGCTACCCTGCCTCTCAGTGCCAAATTTGTAGAGAGTGACGTGAGCAGGACGCAATATGCAAGAAGCGCAAAGAAAATTGCACATTCAGTCGTAGCAAGGACCCAAAGCATTGCTCATGTGGTCATTCCTTAAAGAAGGAATCTCTGAAAGAAGGAATCACAGAACTTTCACAACACTTTTAACATTATTTCAGATTTATAGTCAAACCTCTGGACTCCTCCATGACTCAATGAGCATCTTCCACCAGTGGGACATGCTTTGGTTGGTATCATTGACAAATCAAAACCTAAATGACTTAAGACAGCAAGCTGCACATTATTTAACGATGCTCTAACAGGGACGCTTATGTTGCCAAACTTCATGCAAAAGCAGTCCTCTGGCCACACAGATGCATCGCTTTGCATCTCTGCAACAGCAGCTTCAACTTCAACCTGCCTGAAGGGGGTAACAGCTCTTCCCTCTCCGTTTGAATGCTGCTTTTTAAATACAGAGGAATGACTGTGCTGGGTATGGCGCATGTAGCAGGGAAGCAGATAGCCTGCTGTCAGGATACAGATTGGCTAAAATGCAAACATCCTTATTTGGCTGAGGAACCCTGGGTCCCTCGGAGGCGACTCACAGCTTGTGTAGAGAGCATTTCATTAATGCTGTGATCATACTGCTCAGCCAGGATAGCCAGTTTCCGGGTCTGCTCCTCCTTGAGCCGTTTGAGGACAGCTTTATGTTCACTCTTTGGCGTGGTCTCCAGCAGATGGTTTCTCAGTGCTTTGTACTGTCTGGTTTGGATCTTGCACGTATCCTGAAACTGCTTCTTTATCTGTAGTTCTTTTGACTGGAAAGATGGAGGGGACACAAACAAAGAAAAAACCAGCACATTTCAAATGGGAGAAATATCCATTCAAATGGATATTTAGGATTACATTAAGGATATGAGTTCAAGAATCCACAAATGTATATTAACATCTACAGTGCAAGGAGGGAAGCAAAATACACAAGAGGCAATGACTACTGCTGCAGCTGCTTTGACACTGCTACTGTGCGAAACAATTACAATACAGACACTTTTATAACAAAGCTCCAGCCTAAATACAGCTGTCTCTGCACAAAGAGCCTCACATTTGTCACTGGACTGGATCCAGTCCTGGGTGTTGCTTTTCAAGAAAAGTTCTTGAGGGACAGGACTAGTATTTATTAGCACCAAAAGCCATACTTACACATGACTGTGCTTGTATGGCACATATATATGAACAGCACTTAATGTTATGGAAGGAAGCAGATCTGGTGCATGGGAAGGGACAGGGAAAAAGAGCAACACTTTTTCCATTGAGGGTTTGATGAAGATACGATGTACTGTAACCCTTGATATTATGAGCCTGGTTTTCATAAGAGATACTTAAAAAATGTCTGGGAAAGATTAGACACTTGAAGATGTACGCCACAAGCAACATCAGCATTGTGCCAGTCTAGCAAACAAAACAATTCCCCAGTCCCAATGGAGGCTTACTGGGGATTGAGTTTTCCCTCTGCACTTTCCTAGCATCTCTGTATTATTTAGAGACATAAATTTGTGATTGCGCATGAGGTCGGGACACATAAATCCTGGAAAAGGCATTTGGATCTGATTTTGTTGTATGACCTTGAAGAAATGAATTATTTTTTTCTTTCACCTGTCTTACCTGCCTCCAAAGCAGCTTGTAAGGGTTAACATCTACTAAGTGTTTTAAGATCCTGAAAAGGAGGGTGTTCCGGAGTTCCCTGTATCTTTCTACAGGAGGGCTGGCAGGGATACTTCTAACCAAGCAAAACCCAGAAGTGATGAGTGACGGTGGTTAACTGACAGATAGTCAAGTTTGCCATGGTAAGAAAAAACGAACCAACAAAAAAAAAAAAATCCCCTAACTCCCCACATCAGGGCAGTCAGAATAAACTCTGGGCCACTCCTACTGTCAGCCACCATGATGAAATCCTGAAGCACTGGGGGCAGGAACAGAGCACAGGAACAGATTCCTGTCCCTCCAATAAGTTGGAAGAGCTCTGGGATCTGAACCAGCAAGGCAGATATATCTATGTGCATGTCTCCCGTCAGCTCCTCCACTGCCTGCTCCTGGCACTGACTCAAGGCTCAGTGGGGTAGGTGATAAGCACAGCACTTGTAGCTACCTAGAAAGATGCAGTGGGATCAGACAATATATCCAGCCCAATTCAGACATCAGCATGCTTTGCTGCATAAACCAACAATTCCATTTTGCTAATCTGATGCAGAAAACAGGACAAAGATGGGTTTCATTCAAACCAAAACATGTACCGTGGAGAGGAATACATCGCTTTTACTCTTTCTAAATTCACAGGAAGCTATTTCCCTCCAGGAAATCTTTAAGGTTGTTTCTCCCTACCCCTAAGGGAAGCATCAGCAGGTTACACATTCCCATCGGGGACCTGGTTGCAGCAAAGCACTAGCAATCTATTTTGTCCTCACTTTCTGTGAAGTCTCACTTGGACATGAGACTCCGTTTACAAGCTTCCAATCCAAAGGCTTTAACAACAGGAAACAGAAGGGAGGGGTAAGATTTCCAGTCAGACTTCTGACAAGATCATTTTGACCTAGTATTGTGAAATACCAGCAAGAGGGTATTTGCATCACAATTAACACACTCGAAATAATAACGGAGCAGTTTTCACTGAAGGGTGAATTCGTTGAATTTAGTTGTCTGTCCTTCTGGTGCTGTAATAGTGGCAACAGACACTGACCGTTAAAAGTCTGCTTTCGGGACAAAGGACCTCACTAAATAACAAAGGGAAAGCCTGAAACACATGCCCTTGAGGGAAAATGCTGCTGAGGAGAGAAACTGAATAAATAGTCAAATTATCTACTCCAATAAGAATACTTGCCTGCCTTAGTCAGAAGCAAGAGAAGAGTTAATACTAGGGAATGGTCTCAATAAATAGGGGATTGTACTACAAACCCAACGGTCGTCCAGCCGGCTGCATTATTAGCACTGTGTGTACGCAAGGGTGCTGGATTGACAGCTCAAGCCTGAAATCCTTCACTAATCACAGAACAGCCATGCAAAGCAAACTGCAAGCTTTCCATGCTCCCTGCAAAATGCTCCAGCCCTGGCCGCCGTGGAAAAGGGAAGGGGTTGAAGAGCCTGCAGAGGTGAGAGGACAGCCAAGCCTTCTGCAGCCAGAGCCACCGCCGATCCTGCCACCCCCACTGCCAGCAAAGGAACGAGAAGGGACATGCTGCCCACTCGTGTTTGCGCCGCATCACCTTGGGGAGGCAGAACTCATTCATGCTAATCTCAGAAGGATCAAACTAATACAGCTGCTTCGGTTTTATTCAGCTCAGAGTGCAGCGCAGCTTCCCTGTGAAGTCATCAGCTATTTATACACTATATCCTTGGAGATTCTCAACAGCGATCAGATGGTCCCTTGTTCTCACAAGCTAGGTTTTCACTATTTAATATTATTCTAATATTGACAAATCAGGTTTGTTTCGTTTGTTGTTTTGGTTTTTTTTCTGAAGTTCTATTTTCAAGTTGGTTATTTTCTCTGTAAGAACATAACTTGCAGGTGGTAAAAACTAAGTCAGATGGGAAATATCACGAAGAGGAAAGACTTAGAACAACAAAGAAACCCCATGCTCAGTATGCCATACACTCATTTTGTTACTGGCACAGCTGAACACTGGGTGGAGAGAAGAAGTCTGCCTCCTCAAAGGAAATGTAGCAGGCAGCTTTGTGAAAGGCCTTATACTCCCTTCTCAGACACTCAGAATAAACCACTGGACTTCTTTGGATGAAGTGAAGGCTTACAATGAAAACACTAAGAGCCTCAATTACAGAGGCCCTATAGTTCTGGTCAGCCACCGCAGTTACAAGGGCAGCATGACAAACCCAGGAGAGCACAACGCAGCAAAGGTCAGCGCTAGGAGCTTCCTGAGGACACTGCAGTTGGCTGGTATCTCTCTCCCTTCCCCTGCCACTCGCTAGCATACCAGCCTTAATATAAAAACAATAACGAGGTGTGCTAGCCAAGATGGATAGTGCAGTTCATTTTGATGCGCACAGCAATGCCAAGCTTTTTTTTTTTTTTTTTTTTTTTTAAAACGACACTGCTTCATTACAGAAAAATAGATTTTCTTCCTGTATATGGGGGGAGAAGGGGATCAGAAAATGGTGTAGAAGGAAGAAGAGGGGAAACAAAGGGCACTGCAAAGATTAAATGCATTTTGAACGACCACAAAAAGGAAGGCACATTGCTGAGAACAATGGCTTTTCAAACAAAATGAAGGAATAGTGATGCTAGGGCCTGCCCACAATACACTGCAACCCCGACCACCACCGCTATGCTTCATATGTACGGCGTGGCTTGCAGGGCTGCAGTTGCACCCTGGCAGTTACGCAACTTGACAAATATGACACTTTTAAAAAAAGGTATTCATTTCAGAATGCGACACCCCTTCGAATTATTGAGCTTCAAAATACCTCGGACCTGCATACACTGCAAATGAGAACTGAGCTGTAATGTACCACTTTTCCACCACCACCAGCAGCTTGCGTCCAGAGCTCCTACATCACTTAGTACCTTCAGGCTCTTGGGCTGCTGCCGGACCTCCATGACATGCTTACGCCTCAGCTCCCGCTCCCGGCGCTTGTTGTATTCCAGCTGGTTGGTGAGCTCGGTCTGGTGCTGGAGTCGGATCAGCTCACAGCGCATCTTCTGGATGGTACTGAGATGGCGGAACTCCAGCTCCTGCATGGACTCGTGCTGACGCAGCAGCATGGCGTGCTCCAGGTCCTTCTGTGTCTGCCTTTTGTTTAACTCCTAACAGGAGGACAGAGGGAATTATTAGATTCTTTGTACTTACTTGGATTTCCGTTCACAGCGTGACATTTCACTTTGTTCACAAGGGCATTTCTCTCCTTCCAAGGCATTTGAGGACAGAGCACAGAGTTTCTATGTCTTATCAGAAGCAGACAGCACTGCCACTGGTAATTTTTCCTTCCTCATTTCATTTTTCTTCTTCCTGTTCTAGATGCTCAACAGGATTCACAGTAAGCATTTTCAAGAAAGGACCATAACTGTTGTACCTGTTGACTTTTTGGATCTAACAGTTCTCCCACAATAGGGCACTAATCTGAACATTTGATTCCGCATGATCCTCTAAATGCCATAGGGATTACCAGATGGCACTGCAAAACGTATCAAACCATTAGTTTACCAAAAAATTTCAGATGTAGCAATTAGCACTTCGGTCAGATTGGAGCTGGATGGCAGCTGCTCCTGTGAGATACATCTCACACAGGTAGTTCCAGATCTCATCGCTGCTTAGTCCCTTACCTCCCGAACCAGGTCTTGCTCCAGATTATGGCGGCCAAGGAGCATCCGTCTCTTAAAACGGCGACACTCCAGCTCCAAGTACTGCCTCTGACGCCTCAGTAAGTTGGCTTCTTCCTCTGCTTGGAAATGCTGGATGTTCTCCTTCTGCTTGGAGAGCCACTCCTGCTTCTCCTTCTTGGGAGTGCTCTGGTTTTCATTCAGCTCCTGATAACAGCAAGGTAATTAATTGTGGAATTGTTGCATTAAGCTCCTTGGCCCTGAACAAATGGACAGACCTGCCTAATAAACTACACTTCAGACAAAGTCATTCCACTTTGTCTTCTCATGGCCAGTACCATCCCAGCCTCTGTAAAAATGTATCATATCACCTATCTAAGGGAACACTAGGAGTCAATTCACAGTGAGGCAAATTTAACTACAACTTTTTTTTTACACTAGTCATTTTAACCCATCTAAATGCTGGTTTGTGTCCGCAGTTTCCAGACATACATATTAGCTTGAAATATAAAAATTATGGTTTGCCCCTGAAAACAAAGACACTTGGAGGTCCCGCCATAGTGCCTGACAAACGTTTTTACAGGCTCCCAAAGGACTCAGAAGAGAAGGAAAGCAATGCTATCCTAACTCATTTACAAAGGTTGTGCGTACCAAACTCCAGCCACATGAAGCACATCAGAAAATTTGTGTCTTGCTTGATCCGAACACATATGCGTTTTATAAGTAACTCATCAAGGCAGGGCCGCTCACTGAGACTCCATAACTTACAGAAACAATATAAAGAAGTTCACAGGTGAAACGTAAGGCCACATTTTTCCACATCTGTATTAAATTCAATATATAGCTCGAAGCATCTTCGGCAAAAGACTCTGCTTGCTCGAACTGCATACTAGAGATGCCCACACAGTAACTAGACTTGTCGTGATACATTTACAACTTAAGTACGAGACAGAACTCCTCTGTATTTCATCAGTGTTTCTTGGTGTTCTGTGATCTACTGCCCACTTAGAAAAAGATTCTATGTTATTATAAAGAGCCCACGCCACTATAGTTTTTGTTAGATCTTTCTTGGCTCTGCTGCTCTTTAGCCTTTTTTTCCTCCTGGGAAATGTCTATGTTTGGGAATATTCCCCTCTGGAGCAAGTTCCAAAGTTGCGTCACACAAGTTGATGGTTGAGCACTAAATGGCTCTTTCAAAAAAAGTATTTATAGCGCTTACGGTTTCAGCCACTCCACAAAAAGAATCAGGAAGTTTGATTCTGCAGCTTCTCTGCATTTCACAAAGGTCATGATTTTCACTACAATACAGTGATTATTAAACTATTACACAGCTTTCTCCATCAAAATTAAATAGTGTTTTACAGATATTTTCATTAAAAAAACCCTGCAGGTTATCTTCATTGCTCTGTTTTCTTGCTGCTGCTACTACAGAAATATCATTTAAGTGATAAGAAACTTCACTAACTGCTGCAGTGCATGGTCAATATCTACAGCAATGAGGTATGAGAAAAATGCCCATGACCTTTCTTAAACTACCTTCTTTCATTCCTTAGGATTGCCAAATTTGCATGTTTCTGGCTAAAAAGTAGTATTAAGCAATGGAGAGTTTTGTACTTTCACAAGATAAACATATAGGTGCCAATATATAAATAAACCCTCTTACTCTAAGGTCAAAGCTATGAAACACATACGTATACAAATATGAAACGAATACAATACTTGCTGCAATCCAGCGAAAGATCTCTTGTGCACAGTGGCACTTCTATTTCTGAATGCTCACCGCTCTCCCACTGTACTATAGTCACATTTCTCATTACAGACGAGTTACCTCTTTCAGCTGCTCTTTACGGAGTTTATATTCTCTCTTCTGGGACTCCAGGAAACTGTTCAATTCTTTTTTCTGTTGGGCCTGAATATGCTGTTGAAACTTCTTTTCTTCATTGGCCATCACTTTAGCCTACAGCAAATCCAGCAGCAAATCAGTTTAATCCTTTGGGACTCACAGCTCACATTCCATTTCAGCCCCAAGACCAAGAACTCACGGTACAGTCACGATACTCACCATGACTCTGAGTAAGCCCGAGTCTCAGGAGCTTGCCCTCACCCTCTTCTCATTCCACCCCCTCATCAACACACCCA